TTAAATATCTTTTGGAGCAGCGACTACATTCCATTATTCAACATGCAATCATCAAGTAGGCCTGGCTTATTGTGTAACATACAAGGGAGTGGACAATAGGGTGGCTGATGCACTCCCAAGAAGAGAAACGAATGAACAGCAAGGAAAAATGGCAGCAGGGTATCTAGAAGAAACTGAGTCCTTGAGAGAAATGAATATCAGTCTTTATGGTGACACCTTCTTGGTTAGAAGAGGTAAAAAAAGCAAGGACAATAACACTCTCAATGAACTGATTCATTGAAGTTCACAGACTGCTCCCGATACACTGCTCAATTGCATTTTGAATCAAACAAATATACCAACTAAACCTACATTCTTTTGACCTAAATTGTGCATCTAATATCTTCCATAACTGTACCCATACCATGACCCAGTGATAGTGCAATTTGGGTAATTATGAATAGGTCAGAATAATGGCAAAAAAAATAAGGAAGCAGGTCATAGTTTTGATTCATTCATCTATATTTTGGTTGGAAAAAAAAATATGAAGGGGAAGTTACCCCTTCCACACAATAGTCCAAGGATGAGCGTAGTAGCTCTCATATACGTAGTCGATATTTTGTTTCCTAATTAATCCTACAACTTATTTTTAGACATAAACAGTACCTCCTTGGTAAACAACAATAACAATCTTCCCAGAAAATGTCGCTAAAAGCAGTTTCTAGTTCGGTTCTTGACAATAATAAAAAGAAATCTATAAAAAAACAATGATAAAGAAAAAAAAAAGAAAACCATAAAGAAAATGAAACCCTAAGATAAAACTGACAGCCCTGCAAAAAAAATTGTCAAGCCTGAATAAGGTATCTGTAAGAACCTGATTCCCACGAACTCCTTTGTTCAGGTCATGAAAGTTACGCTCCAAAATCCACTTATAGTACCTACGTGAAGCAAATAAAATTATATGTTTACATGGCTAAAAAGGCTCTAAAGAAGCGCACAAAACTATACTTACTGTTTCTGAAGAGGGGACATTTCAACCCTTAGTATGCGCTCAATTTTTGGAGGCAAAGATTTCTCTACATCCTTGATTACTCGTCGGAGAATATGAGGCCTCAATTCCATGTGAAGATTAGCAAGCTAAAGATTAAAATAAGCTTTTAGGTGTATACAAATCTGACATTCAACAGAATCTTGAAGTATAACAAGATCATAAAGAGAAATGTACCTCATTTTCGTTGAATGAGCTAAGATTCTTGTAGTTCTGAACAAAATCTTCCTTACTCTTAAATTTGTCACGGTCAAGGAAATGAAGCAGAGCCCTGTCATTATGATAAAAAAAACAACTACAGATGCATCCTTTTCTGCGAGTCTGAGAGCATAAACATTTCCTCAAAGCTGAAATAGACAACTCTTTACTGGCATGCAAGATTTCTATAAACAATCACCATGATAGATCTGATACTTATGCTATCTAGTGCTACCATACAATGTCCAGCATGACAAAAACATAAAGTACTAATATGAGCTAGAAGCTAGCATTTGATGTTAGCAAAAATGAAAACAGAGCATCCAAAGCATATTTATTGGTTTCCAGAAAATTAATTATAACCATACACGAAATATGTTTTCTTCCATCAACCAACAAAATGGATCACCGAAATGATAATCAAGAGATCAAAATGACACAAAAAAAACCGATAGTCTGACTGAACCATCAGGTAGAAAACTAAGAAAAAGAAACAGAATAATAAATGAATGGGAAACAACAACCAGAAGTTGCATGAAAAGAATGATACCATAGCTCTTCCACACTGTTCTGTAATGGAGTACCAGTAATAAGCAATGTATTTTTGGTGCTAAATTCCTGTATAATGCAGAAAATTTATCAATATTTGACCAATTTAAACCCCTACTTGAATTATGAAATCTATATATAGAGTACAAATTGGAAGAATACGAGTACCGAAAGAGTTGTATACAGCTGTGCTTCACTGTTCTTTAACCTATGTGCTTCGTCTACCATCAAATAGTTCCACCTAATCTTAGACAGAACTGCCTTGTCCTTAAGGACCACTTCGTATGTGGTCAATAGGGCATTAAATTTTATAGGCCTGCCAACTTTCTTATCATTATAAAATTCGTATTGCTGACAAACCTGCAAGCAAACAGCAATTAAGATTAAACACCCACGAGAACCTTTTATAAATAATTCAACCATCAACTTTCTATTTCATAATTTCCATATTTCCTCATCAAATTTGGTTATATTCTGATCTCTATTCCCACCAGGAAATACAAGCAATTCCCAACAGAATTTCCCATGAGTCAACAGTTCACCTATTTGCATAAGCAAGACAATTTGGGAATCAATTTCCATGCTTTAATCAAATACCAAAGATCAGTCAACACAGTCTCATGTATCATCAAAACAAACATTTTAACAACTAAAAGACAATAGTAATGAACTTCTCAGATAATGTCACAACAAACAGCAAATGACATATATATTTGTGAAAGTCAGCTAGAGCACTTCCATATAGTTGATACTATG